TGTGCTCTCCCCCCACCCCCGCACTGTGCTCTCCCTCCCCCCTCCCCCTGGTACTGTGCTCTCCCTCCCCCACTCCCCCTGGCACTGAGCTGCCTGGGTGTGGGGACGATGGGTGTGCAAATGGGCCGTCCCCACTCTCCTTCTGCTCCACCCCTCCCCCCCCCCGCCCACTTTCCAAGGAACTACTTTCTCCCATTTTGGACAGATTTCATGATTTAAGTTGCAAGTCACCTGCCCAAGCCTCTTTCTAGTGCATAGAACCCACTTTCTGATAACCAGACAGTGGTCAGGAGATGGCAAATAGAAGCTGCCCACTGAGGAAGCACACGCTGGAAAGGAGTGGTTGGAAGCCAGGAGAGGGGAGTGGGGAGGGGAGAGAGAGGGAGGAAGGCTGGGCGCTGGGGGCAGACACATCAGCTGTGTTTTCTTAGGTGTTTAGGTAGTGTTCCAAGCACCAAAGAATCAAGGGGATCTCTGGTTCCAGGCCAATCGTAGAGCACAAATTAAAGAGCAGTCATTAAAAATGAACAAGTAATCCTATATAATAAAAGGCTCATATGCAAATCAACCAAACGGCAGAACAACCAGTCGCTATGACATGCACTGACCACCAGGGGGCAGACACTCAATGCAGAAGCTGCTCCCTGGTGGTCAGTGCGCTCCCACAGGGGGAGTGCTGCTCAGCCAGAAGCTGGGCTCATGGCTGGTGAGTGCAGCAGCGGTGTGGGAGCCTCTCCCACCTCCATGGCAGCGCTAAGGATGTCCGACTGCTGGCTTAGGCCCGCTCCCCCATCAGTCAGACATCCTCCAAGGGCTCCCGGACTGCAAGAGGGTGCAGGCCAGGCTGAAAGACCCCTCCACCCCCGCATGAATTTCATGCACCAGGCCTCTAGTATACGATGTTTTCTTTATTCAAAGCCTTGATTCCAGCTTTCTGTCCCCCTCAGCTTCCAGGCAACCTTCTCAGGATAAATTGGTCACATTTGGGGAAAAACGTCATTGAACAGGGCACTTTAAGATTTTGTGATGTCCCATATGCTAACCACACTTGGTCAAGTGTAAGCCTGTGTGCATGTTAGCTCTAGCTCTGGGGATTTTGTTTTTTGTCTTGCTTCTTAAAAGGGAGAAGAAAATGGGAGAAAGAACTTGATTTCAGGTTTAAATAAAAGGCCTTGAAATACCTCAATTCTCAGGAAGATATTTAAAGAAAAATAAATGTCTGAGGTTAAAATTTTGAGAAAATGAGAATTAAAGATCTTGTGAAAAATACCCTTTGAGGATGTGTGCACAGCAAAGGAAAGGCCATGTCCTGGGCACGTCGCAGCTCTCTGTGAGGGCGGCCATGGGTCCCCAGTGGCTCTCCTCGTCTCCTGATGCAGCTGTTCGGACCCACAGGTGACATTGTAAGGTGACAGCCTGGTGAGGGGGCACAGACAGACAGGCTCTGCTCAGACCTGCCTTCATTGTGTGATGCTGAGAGTCACTTAACCTCTGAAACCTTCACCTATGAAATGAGCATCATACTTTTTCTCATCACAAAGGGTTATAATAAGGACTCAATGGCATAACAGGTGTAGGATGGTTAGCACAGTGGCCGACACAGAATATGTTTCCAGTAAATGGACTATGTCCTCATTGTCATTGCCATTGTGTGCCAGCCGCGTTCTGTTCCTCTTCTTCCCTCTTTTGAAATGAGAGCATCTAGTCGTAGTTGCTTTGCCACACATGGCTGTCTATGTGCTCGCTCCTTGACCCTGTTTCTCTGAAATTGGCTAGTTGAAGGTTAAAAGGGAAGAAACTCAGATGTAATACTTTCTGGCAACACTGATTAAAAAACAGGCCTAGCTAAAGACAGTCATTTTCATATCACGCTGCCACGTACCCTTCAGTTTAGCATCAGTCTGTGACAACACAAAGGACCAACTGTTCTGATTTTGTAAAAAACACTCCCTACTTGCCTGGAGGAGACAAGCTTGATACGCATGTTTATGACACTGCACATACAGCTTCTCCAGTTGATCCTTGAACAACTCAGGTTTCAACCGCGTGGGTCCACTTACTAGTATATGTGGATTTTTAAATAACTATATAAATTTATTTTCTCTTCCTTATGATTTTCTTAACAACATTTTCTTTTCCCTAGCTAACTTTATTGTAAGACTGCAGTTCCTGGATTTTTGACTGTGCAGGCAGTTGGTACCCCTCATCCCCATGCTACTCAAGGGTCAACTGTGCTCTGCTCTCCCGCTGGGGTAGCAGACCTGAGGGGGAAGGTCATGCCGATAAGAAAGCTGAGTGTCCGAGCTGGACCCTCCAAAAGGACTGCTTCGCGCTGAGCTCCCCCCTCTCTGACCTGGTCTTGCTCTGACCTCTTCTCGTCATGATTCTAGATGCGGACAGCAGTGATTCGGAACTCTCCTTCATCATGTTCAACGCACACTCTCCAACACGGTCGCTTCAAGAGAGACAACAAATAACCACAAGGAAGAGTTTAAACAGAGGAGGGAAGCCGTCCGGCTCTGGCTATCAAACAAGTCCAAGCCAGGAAGAGCATGTTGGCCGGAGCAAAAGGGCTTTGAGGCCCAAACCGCTGTTTCACACCGTGGATGAGGAGCGTGAATCTGGAGAAGAGAGTGGGGAAGAGGCCTCAGCCCCGGGCGCCAGACAGTCGGCTGAGCACAGGAGGGAGCGCCGCAGGTCCTGCAGCCCTTTGCTCCGAAGGAAATAGTCGCGTTGTGCACAGGGTTGCTCGCGGCTTCGCCCGAGCCATCGCCCTGTTGTGTGGGTGGAGGGTTTTCAGAATTCTGAAGAAAGCTACTGATTTTGCTTTTTTGAAGCTGTGAGTCAGGCATCTGTAAGAGGCAGGGGGTTTCAGAGGACGGGGAGCACTAACTTGCAGGCGGTGCCATATTCTTAGCTGGTATACTTTGTAGATGCTTTCCTGTGAGTCAAAGACCTTTATCACCCCAGAAATTATTCACTAAGAATTTCTAAGAGTGTGTGATCCATTTAATTTATTGAGATGCAATGTGGTTGGTAATTTACCTTCACAATATGCACGTACAACTTACAGTCAAGGTAGCCCTCAGAGGAGCCCTAGAAATATTCTGACCCAACTCCGTGAGGTTACAAATGAGGACATCTTGCCCAAGGTCACGTGGTGAGTTGCTGCTTCACAAGCTAATTGACCTCCCTCCCAGGAGAATGCATTTGATTTTAATTTTGATACTCACTATTCAGGAATTATGGGGAGAGGTAAAACTTATCATAGCATTGCTATACTTAATCAGTAGCAACAATAGATACAGATAAAGAATTAATCTACAGACAATGAGCTTGTCTATATTATAATTAGAATATTTCTTTCAAAAACAAATATTAGAAACAAAATAGCCATAATCAGGCTTTAAATAGCAATTATATACCAGGTATTTGTTAGATGTGCATTTTTAAGGTATGATATTTTGCCCTAAGGATTGAAACTATTCTCCAATTTAATTTTCCATCTTCATTGACCCCAAACTTGACCTTGAACCTCACACTCCAGCTCACCAACTATGTTAGATGGCTTTATCTTTCCTTCCTCTTCTCTGTCTTCTGGCCACCGAGATATTTAAGATTTATGAAGTACTATTTATTGTGCCAAATGGCTAATCTATAAAGATAAATTAACCATCTGTCCTTTATCGCTGCTATTTTTGACATCTCTGAGCATCACCAACGGACTTAACCCTGTGCATCTTTCAAGGCTGCCCAGCCCCCCAGAGCCTTGTCCTCTGGTGTTAACCCGTGCCAGTGGCTGATGAAAATGCAGGACTTCCCACAGGTTTATAGTTTGTGAATGGCACTCACTCCGGTTGGCTACAGTGGTAGAAATGGCAAAGGAACCATTTGTCTTTCTTCTTCTGAATCTAAAATACAAGACTGCTTCCAAGTTGTCTAAATATTTGCATCTTAATGAAATTGTATACTACCGCATACTAGCAATCAGCCCAAAGGGACAAAGCACATATAAGACCCAGGGATCTCTGGACTTTTCTTTTTATTTAAACAAACCAGCAGTCAAAGTCACACAAAAAAACCTATGGCCCTGGAGAGGGTGTCAGTGAGTTACTACCCTTAAACCGTAGATGGACAGACAGAGACAGAGGGGGGTTGTCAGAAATCAACTTTCCAAATCCACACGCAGGCCGGTTCTTGAGAGGTGGGCCATGGCCTGGTCCCTCACTGGACTTTCCACACACGCCAGAACCCGTCCTGCGGAGGCCCTCCCGGGGCTGCCCCGGGGCTGCGGGGAGTCACCTGACTGTGCTATGGAATGTGGAATTTATGAAACTGGCGCAGAAGTGACAGTCGGACACTGTGAGGGTCAGGAAAGAGCCTTTAATTAAAGCAGCGTTGCTGGTTCAGGGGACTCTAAGATCCAGATCCTGAACCGCCTGGACAATGAGATTTTTCTCTATATATATTGAAGGGGTTAAAAAGAACAAAACGGGGCAGAGAAAGATTCATTGTGCTCTGCAGATATCCTGCAGAAAGCTTGCAGCCTTGAGCACAGCATAGCTCAGATAACCAGGAGACACCTGGCATAGGAGGAACTAAGGACAGACCAGGCCCGTCTCCCACATTCTTTCACAAATGGAGTTAATTACCAGCTAGCAAGAGAGTGCAGTAGAAAGCAGGTTACTGCGACAATTTCAGATTGCTAGCCCCCCGAAAATGTCTCATTTTCCCTATCAACTACGGTTCTTCTCAGAGAGGCCGGCTCCATTTGGGAGACGGTTAGGCTTCGAGAGTAGATTGGAATGTTCTCCTTTAACTGGTGGAAGCCATAATGGAGTTGTTTTCCCAGAGGACTTTGCTCACCTAGACACTGTCTGGTCAGGGCTGCCCATGTCTGAGAAGCAGCCCTGGAACCTTCCTGGAAGGCACGGCGGGCGAGCAGCACGCAGTCCTGGTGGCTCTGGTAGACTCAGAGAGCTCGTGGTGGGCTGGCCTCTTTGTTTTTCATCCAAGATGGCTTCAAAATGCAGTGTGATCTGATCTTCGTTCCTTTCGTAACTCGGGATGACTTGAGGGTATAACAGGTGCCCGAGGGATGCTCTAGATTCCCAGGACAAGTGTTTTGAGCAGACACCATACAACTCAGCAGCGAAAAGTTCCTCTGGAGTGCTGAGGAAGATCTGGCTCTTCTTCCTTCCTCGACTCCGGGAGGGCTGAATCCCATGAAGGGTGCTCTCCCGGCCTGCTGCTCCAGGCCTGCTGCTCCGGCCTGGCTGCTGCTGCTCCGGGCCTGCCTGCTGCTGCTCTGGGCCTGGCTGCTCCGGGCCTGGCTGCAGCTGCTCTGGGCCTGGCTGCTCCGGGCCTGGCTGCAGCTGCTCTGGGCCTGGCTGCTCCGGGCCTGGCTGCAGCTGCTCTGGGCCTGGCTGCTCCGGGCCTGGCTGCTCCGGGCCTGGCTGCAGCTGCTCTGGCTGCAGCTGCTCTGGGCCTGGCTGCAGCTGCTCTGAGCCTGGCTGCTCCGGGCCTGGCTGCTGGCCCCATGAGCAGTCTATCTGCTTCACCAGGGGCAGATTTGCCCTTTTATTTTTAACCTCAAAAAATCAGACACATAGCCCATAGAATCTTAATTTTCTCTTTAAGTTGTTTGTTTGCTTTGCTCTTTGTTTTCTCAAACCTATTTACATTGCTAGGCTGAATGGTTTTATTTCCATGAATTCTGAAGTTGGATAAAGTAGCGTTTCCTTGTATTCATCCTATACAGAGGCTTTCCACCTTAAGGTTTTTCACATGTTTTCTGGTGCTTATGGTCAATGTTTGTATTCATCTTCCCCAGCTGTGATGTGCTGCCATGGGCACCATGCTCATCTTCAATCTCCTGCTAACAGGAACCCTGGCCAGCAGTTGCAGGGGGATCTACTAGGACAAAGTGGAGATGAGATGCTCAGCGTTGCTCATGAAGGCCATGTACTTCTGTTTTCTCTTCTTGGAAATGTTAAAGGGTCATGGGAGGTAGGGCTGGAATTACCACCTGAATTCAGTGATAGAGTGACCGTTGCTGTATGGCAGGTGCTGCTGGGGCAGGTGTGTGGCAGAACTCAGCTCTTCAGCTTAGAGAGCTGGTTTCAGCCCACAGGGAAGCCCTCAGACCTCCTTGCCTGTTTGGATGCCTGCCACTCAGATCATTTAGATTTTAAAATCAATATAATTATTCAGAGCTCAGACTCTGAAGTCAGGCCACTCCTAGCTGTAGGGCCTTGGGCAACTTAACTATCTTCCCTAAGCTGAAAATTACTGATTAATATTCTAAGGTATTAATTTTATCTACATCATAAAATGATAACAAGGATTAACTAAAATAACATGTAAGATTCTTAGCTCTGTGCTTGTTTTATGCTAAGAGCTGGATGACTAACAGCCTTAACTATTTAGGCTAAAATATCTACTCCTGAGAAAAGGTGTACAGGGATTGGATAACATGCAGAGGCATAAATAACAGAAATGGGAGACTTTTCTGAGAGACATTGGATTGTCGTAATAGAGGACACTGGGGGCCTGGTGAGAGGATGTGGCAGAAACAGAAAGCACTGAAACATGACCCCCTGGCATGTCTCTACCAGCACCCATCAGTCCACAGCAAAACCAGAGGTGAGGTCTGAATATAGATGCATGTTTTTCAGTCACAGCTTGTTTATTTCTGTCTAGTTCCCTCAAAATCATTGCATTTCCTACATTGGGGACAGTTACCCTGGTGTCCAATTTTAACCACAGTTTATCTCCAAAGAGACCGTGAATTCCCACGCCCTGCCTCGGTAACCCATGCAGGCCAGTCCAGGAAGGAGTGCTCCTCTGGCAGGGCACTGAGCGTGCGGCTCCACTCCTCAGCTCCGGGTCTGCTCCAGAAGAGGCCTTCCCTCAAAAAGAGTGATTTTTTAATGTATGGGTATAAAGTAGAGGGATACATTTTCAAGAATTTTCAGCATGGAAAAAATAGCTTCTAGTTATGTTTCATAACTTTCTAAAATTAGGAAAAGTAATTTTTTAAAAATAAAGTCAATAAATATGTGTTGGTGTTGTCTAAGGTTTTTGCAAGTATATTTCATCCACAAACAAGACAGGTGGCTTATTGTAGACTAGAGGCCCGGTGCAGGAAATTCGTGTATGGGTGCGGTCCCTAGGCCTAGCCGGCAATTGAAGCATGAGCGTCTGGCATGGAAGGGCAGGTCCCAGCTGACCTCTGGGCTCTGGGCAGTACCCAGGCCCTCAGGCCCCCACACGCCCCCCTCTGCCTGAGTCATGGTGCCCAAGTCCCCAGGCAGAGATGCGGTAAGCTGGACTCCACGGGTAGGGGCGCAGCATGGGCCTCTGGGCCACCCAGCAGCTCCGCATGGTAGCCGGGCGGGCAGCACACTCTCTCCCAGCTGGCCTCAGCAGACCGGCTCCTGTGCGAACCCACAGTGAGCCTGACCGGTCCCTGTGATCCCTGCAGCAGCAGCCCTGCTCACCCAGAAGCCCTTTGGGGCCAGCAGTGCCTCCACTGCCACCCGCTGCCAGTGCCTCATCACTGATGCCCGCCATGCTCTGTGCCACCCCCTGGAGGTCAGCGCACACCATAGCAAGCAGTCAAACTCCTGGTGGAACTCCTGGTCAAGGGGACAATTTGCATATTAGGCTTTTACTCTATAGGATATCTTCTATTGATTTCAGAGAGGAAGGGGAAGGGAGAGAGGGATAGAAACATCAATGATGAGAGAGAATCATGGATTGGCTGCCTCCTGCATGCGCCACACTGGGGA